GGGGGCAGCAGTCGCCACCCAAATCACATTGCACCGTACCAAACCTTCCTGCGGGTGGTGAGTCCACTGGAAGGGACCAACCGCCCTAACCGGGATTCGAACTTGCCCAGGAGGTGAACCCTGGGGTTCCACACCAATGACAGAGACGTTGCCCTGAGAAGACATGCTGTAGACAAAAACTTACAGCGGGTACGGAAAGTATTCAGACCCCTTAAATTTTTCACTCTGTTATATTGCAGCCATCTTCTTTTCTGGGAGTTCCATTGACTTCATGATTCTCATTTGCTCTGACATTCCATTTTGCTCTGACATTCCATTTTGCTCTGACATTCCATTTTGCTCTGACATTCCATTTTGCTCTGACATTCCATTTTGCTCTGACATTCCATTTTGCTCTGACATTCCATTTTGCTCTGACATTCCATTTTGCTCTGACATTCCATTTTGCTCTGACATTCCTTCTTTTCTGGGAGTTCCATTGACTTCATGATTCTCATTTGCTCTGACATGCACTGTGAGCTTTAAGAGTGTCACAGCAAAGGGTCTGAATACTTATGACCATGTGATATTTCAGTTTTTCTTTTTTAATAAATCTGCAAAAATGTCAACAACCTAGTTTTTTCTGTCAATATGGGGTGTTGTGTGTACATTTATGAGGAAATAAATGAACTTGGCAAATGGCTGAATGAGTGAAAACTTTAAGGGGGCCTGAATACTTTCCGTACCCCGTATATACGTATATACTGTGTGTGTGTGTGTGTATATATATATATATATAAAATGTATATACAGTGGGTACAGAAAGTATTCAGACAAAGAAAATTTGTCACTCTTTGTTTAAAAAATATCATAAATTGCCAAATCCAATTTGTAACAAAAACTTCTCAATAAGGGGGATACATTTCATCAAGAGGAATTTATCTAACTAAAGATATAAAAGGTCAAAAGGACACATTTAAGGCCATGCTTAAATGAGCCAATTGCTTGCATCACAAATAAAACTACTTTTTCATTTATTGTTTGGGCTTCCGTTCAAAAATCACAATATTCAAAATTTTATAAAGTATAATTTTTAGGTAAGTACTTTTTTTTAGATCCCTTACCATACATGTTAATTAGCAGTCCCTGACATTTTTGTACCAAGAACCAGTTGGCCTGAAGTCCTGACCATTTTAGAAACATTAAGGTTCAGGCAATTTTCAAAATAAAACATTTTTTAGGCTGTTGTGATGGTACAAAAATGTGGAGTCTGGAGTCTGAAAGATTTATTATTTTTGAAAGATTGCTAGTTTAAATGAAGGAATTCTCTTTATATTAAGTAATTTTTTTTTATTATTCTTTCACTTTGGTCTGGTAACAAATGACCCCTGGATCAGTACTGGTCTTTGGCTAGGGGTTGGGCGACCCCATTAAGCAGAAGAAAAAAATCTACTAATGATTAAAACATTCCAGGTCAGTGCAGGAGCAAACTGAGATTAAACCTGTCGTAGATGTCTCACCGGTATGCGTCCTCTTGACCTGAACATAGCAACTCTTCTGAGGTCCTCCTCTTTACTTTTAAATGGTACAGTTAACACAGTGGGGTAGGTGTCGCAGAGTTCGTAGTTCTTGTTGATTAATGTGATACGCCACTTGTTGTTAGGTAAGCCCTGCAGAAAACAGTTAGAAACCATGGGATACTGACACAGAAATGCCCTTAAAAATGCTTTTTTTTTTTTTTTTTTTTTTAAATTCACTTTGAACTCTTCTTACCTGGCGTCTGAACTCTTCCATTGGTTTGTAAACATCCCAGCCATTTTCTTCATATTTTTCCTGAGTCACGTATGCAAACAGAGGCTGGAAAAGATGATTATTCGTGATTCGTGATGAAAATAAAGGCATAATTCATCAAAACGTTTTGTTTTGCACAAAAGAAAAAAAAAACAATTTTTACACTAAAATCAGTTAAAACATTGATTTTTTTTATTCCAATTTGATCTATAGCCTTAGTACACTGAAGTGTAAACACATGCCGTACGAACTGAATCACGCCGTGGGTACGAACAAGATGTGAAAATAAGTGGTTTTAACAGATAAAACACACTGTATACATGGCCAAAAAAATAAGTCTCCACCTGAAAAAAAATTTCGTTGGACCATCTTTAGCTGCGATTACAGCATTGCGATCGCTGTGGCATTGTAAGCTTCTGCAATGTCACAAGATTTATTTTCATTCAGTGTTGCATTCATTTTTCACCAAGATCTTGTATTGATGAGATTCGGACCACCGCACAAAACCTTCTCCAGCACATCCCAAGGATTCTCAATGGGATTAAGGCCCCGTTGTGGCCAATCCATGTGTGACCAAAATGACGTCTCATACTTCCTTAGCTATTCTTTCACAATCTGAGCCCTGTAAATCCTGGCATTGTTATCTTGGAATATGTCCGTTCCATTAGGGAACAAAAATTCCACTGAAGGAACAATGCGGTCATTCAGTATATTTAAAGTAGTGAGCCGACAATGATTCGCCTATCACCCTGAAACAGAGTAAAAATCTGGACTCATCACACCACTTGACCTTCGTCAATCGCTCCAGAGTCCAATATTTATGGTCCCCCAGCAAATTGAAATCGATCCTTTTTTTTCCCAGATATGCCTCTCTGATAGCCCTGACCTCTGCCCTTGTTTATCTGCAATTTGATTAAATCAAATTGAGGCTTTAAGTGCCCGCTGTCAGTTAGGATTTTTTTTTTCCCAAACAGATTTCGTCTACGAAGATGATCTTCCAGGAAGTGCATGTTTACCATGGGAAATGTCATTAAATATTGCACTTTTTAGCCTTCTTTCAGCAAATGGGGAATGATTTTTGGTTATCTTAGAGCTACTTTCCAGGCTTTTTTTGAGTGCATTTGTGTTATTTCTGGACATTTTGGTTCCATTTGAGAATACAATTTACCTGATTATATGTTTTAAAAATGTTGCTGCTAAAAACTCTAAATTACGCCATTGACAGAAAAATGACAGTTAATTACCAGGTCAACATTAGGGGTTGATATTTTATCATCAACTTAACCAATAGTCACAATCAATTAATAAAATATGCAGTATTTTACTCTGAGCAGAAGGAACGTTTACACAACACACTAAGTTGCCCATCATTGGTAACCAGCGCTCAGGAAGAAAAACTTGAGTGTCTACATCAGCGGTGTCAAATTAATTTACACGGGGGGGCCACGTCAGCAATACAGTTCCCCTAAAAGGGCCGGTTGTAAATAGAAGACTATATAGATCAGGGGTTCCCAAACCCAGGTCCGCAGATCGGTACCAGCCCATAGGTCATTTGGAACCGGGGGACAGTGGTGAAAAAATGTACTTAATTTTCATATCCATTTACTTTTTTTATTTAAAGAAAATCTGGCGATATATTAAAAAAATATGTCATTCAGACTCACAAACAGAATAGAGTCTAAAAGATGTTTTATTTTTAAAATGTAATGATCCTTTAATGCTCAGCACCTTGATACCGGTCTGTAGTAACTGGTGGTACTGGCTGAATAGTCTTTGGATCAAAAAAGGTCAGGTATCACTGGTATGGATGTAAGTACTCCATAACACACTAATACATGTTTCTGCAATTGATTATTTATTCAAGCTAATAATATTGTTTATTGCTGTGTAATTTTACTAAATGCTTTTGAAGCACCCACGGGCCACACAAAATGGCTTGGCGGGACGCATTTGGTCCCCGGGCCTTGAGTTTGACACGTATGGTCTACAATGATCAGAGGATACTCTGATCAGTCAAACCTGGAGGATGAAACTGTCCCAAAGCCAAGAGTGGAACAGTAATTTGAGACACAAGCATCTCACTCTGGCTGAAAGAACAACTGACTGTTGTTTTTAATTCATTCGCAAGAGCTACGAAAGCTCGACATTGTTGTCAGAGTAGTCGATATGTAAAAATCAGAACTTATCAATGCCCTAATATGAATACTTTGTTCATTGCTTTATTCCTTTTTACTTGTTTTAATTACTTCGTTTATGTATGTATACGGTGTTCTCAACCTGTCAACAAGGATACAGGATGGAAAAAATTAACATCTCATATTCTCTTTCAAGCCAAAAAGAAGAGACTGACTCACCAGACTGTGTGAGAGAGGGAAAGCATATTTAAAAAGGAGGTCAAATATATCTCGTCTGCTGTGGCCTTCCTGTTTCAATGCAAACCTCAAATTTCTCATGTCCTGGGGACATAGAAAAATGGACAGGGTGTCAGTGTACATACAAATACAATATTGAGTTAGCACAGATACAGATACAGATACAGTGGGTACGGAAAGTATTCAGACCCCTTTAAATGTGTCACTCTTTGTTTCATCGCAGCCATTTGCTGAAATCAAAAAAGTTCATTTTTGCAAATTTATTAAAAAATAAAAACTGAAATATCACATGGTCATAAGTATTCAGACCCTTTGCTGTGACACTCATATTTAATGCTCACATGCTGTCCATTTCTTCTGATCCTC